AATAAAAAACCTTTTGTTTAATGGAGTCATTTGCAACCATTAGGAAACAAATGTACATATATTAGATTTGACGAAAAAATTGCTACACCCAATTATTATTTTGCTTCATTGAATTTTATTCACTGTCTCACTCAATTTTTTAAAAAATGTTGCTTATCATTTCTATGAAATAGAATACATATGGCATTGCTGCAGAGAAAACTGCGTTTAAGAGAATTAAAAGTCCTTATGTGGCATTTTACCATCAAATCTAATATATGTACATTTGTTTCCTAATGGTTGCAAATGACTCCATTAAACAAAAGGTTTTTTATTGTTTAGATAACATGTTAATAGGTCTATGGATGAGGCTAGCCTTATCTCATCTTGTCGCTTTTAAAGTGAAACATTCTGCTATTTAAATGTTGTGTTCAAGAAATGATCATTCTGTAAAAATGGTGAAAATGGAAAAGAAAAATGCAAGGATTGTATCCAATCACGTTCAGAGCAAATTTGGAAGGTGCATGAAAGTACTAGTTACAATGAAGGATGAAATATCCTCCCAGCACTTATAAAGGCATAAACATGTAAAGGTAACAAAAGTTGCTTCTAATGCCTTGACAAAATACTGCAGCTTATGCATTGGGAAAATGCCACAGAGTATTCCAGCTCTAAAACAAACACTTCCCTGAAAAAGGCATGGAAAAAGGTTCCAACTTGTAAGAAACTGCATATTTATGTGGTGAAAATCTGGTTTAAAGCCACACTGCAAACTATTACTTCATATACATGCATACATACATATTGTACATACACACAGTAAGACTGGGCAGACTCCATCTTTCCAGCACTAGTTCTGAAAGAATAAGAATGAAGAAGGTAATCACTTGTTACACGTTACCTCTTCTCCCCTCCAAAAATCTATGTTCTTTAAAGTCTGTAAACAATTTACAACAAATGGAATACGGACAAATGCACATCCCACATAAGACAAATTTCCTCAGAATAACTTTTTCTAGTCTGGCAACTGATGGAATCTGAAAACTCATATTCTGAGGAGCACCAAGTTGGGAAAGGCTACCTTAGATTTATCAAAAAGCTAAGATACCCTTAAGCCAGGCTGGCCACACAGTGATTTCCTAGCCATATCCATATTGTGAGTGGATTTTCCTCCCAATAATGTATAATTTATTTTCCACTGTCTTTTTCTGGGATGCTTTTATGACTTCCCAGATAGCGCCAGAGCTCACTGTAACAGCATTACCAAAAAGGCATTAAGAGTTGTCAGCCTAATCTTGCCAATCTTCTATTCCGGCAACATAGTACTGCAAACTAGGACATACAAAACCTTTGCTAGACCAATTCTCAAATACAGCTCGTCTGCCTGGAATCCACACTGTATATCAGATATTAATATAATCGACAGAGTCCAGAGGTATTTCATGAGAAGAGTACTCCACTCCTCTACTCACAACAGAATACCCTATGCCACCAGGCTTGAAATTTTGGGCTTGGAGAACCTAGAACTACGCCGCCTACAGTCTGACCTAAGCGTAGCTACAATATCCTGCCTGTCAATGACTACTTCAGCTTCAACCACAATAATACAGGAGCAAACAATAGAGACAAACTCAAGGTAAACTGTTCCAAACTCGATTGCAGAAATACTTCAGCAACAGAATGGTCAATGTCTGGAATGCACTACCTGACTCTGTTGATACATCNCAAAGTGGGTCAGTCTTTGGTGACTTCACTTCCTTCACATTTATGGTGAGGTACTTTATAAGGTAAAGTACCTTACGATAAATGTAAGGATGCGGTGGCTCAGTGGCTAAGACACTGAGCTTGTCGATCAGAAAGGTCAGCAGGTTGGTGGTTTGAACCTCTAGTGCCGCGTAACGGAGTGAGCTCCCATTACTTGTCCCAGCTTCTGCCCACCTAGCAGTTCGAAAGCATGTAAAAATGCAAGTAAAAAAATAGGGACCACCTTGGTGGGAAGGTAACAGCGCTCCGTGCGCCTTCAGCGTTTAGTCATGCCGGCCACATATCCATGGAGAAGTCTTTGGACGGCGCTGGTTCTTCGGCTTTGGAACGGAGATGTGCACCGCCCCCTAGAGTCAGGAACGACTAGCACATATGTGCGAGGGGAACCTTTACCTTCACCTTTAGGACATTGAACACTTGCTGACAAACAAAAGAGGGATGGCATTGGGGATGCTGCAGAAGACAGAATTCAAATAGATTGAATTCTACATGAGGACAGACCCATGGAAAGTGACCAACTCCTTACAAGAGAAAATGAAACACCTGGAGTGGTCAGTTTGAGAACAATCTTCTCCCAAGGAATGGAGAAGGACATTTGTGGGAAAACAGCCCATGAGATTGTTTGGGCAGTGGGGGGGGGGGGGTTTTGGGCCCAACCGGGCCTGGAAGAAAAAATAAGGGACAGGTTGTTTCCCCTTCCGTGTCTCTTGAGACAGTGTAGTTTGTGACAGTTAATTTATCTATAGATTGGATACTTTTTTTGAATGAGATCAACCACTTTCACAGCCACAATGGTGTTTGTGCACCTATTGGAGGCTGACTTAACTTTTTAGAACACATACAAGCCGTTGGTTAAAATCTATTTCATCAGAGGAGTCTCCTCTGAGAAGGTTGAGAAGGCTTGAAAGCAAGCCGGTGGCTCTTCTGTTATTCCCCAGAGGCCATCGAAGACACTTAATGGACTTTCCATCCTTTTCTAGACAAAGCTGAAGGAACAACAGGCGAGCAATACAGCAGCTCTCCTAGCAGCAAATGAAGATAAATTCGAATTGCGTTATTTGAATATTACCTGCGTTGGTGAGTATTGCAAACCCATCTTTACTATTAGCTCTGTGACACAAAACCAGAGAAATTTGCAGTGATCTTTCCTACTTATATCTCTTTCTGATTCCTCCTTTCAATGTATTTGCGTTGCCTTTGGGCTGTCTTTGAAAACAGTTCAAGAGGTTTGTTTGGTGCAAAAGTGCCAATATTTGGAGGGTGGATGGGCCACAAAACCAAATAACTGATTTCCCATGCAGATAATTATCCACTCCCTAACTCTGACCATGCCCTGACCATAATGTTTTAGAATACAATACAGAATAGAATTGGAAGGGACCTTGGAGGTCTTCTAGTCCAACCCCTGCATCCATTGCTTGTCCTGCCTTCCGATCAGTGGGGAAATTCAAATTTTTTTACTACCGGTTCTGTGGGTACGGCTTGGTGGGCATGGCAGAGGAAGGAAATTGCAAAAACTCCATTCCCACCCTACTCTGGGGCCAGCCAGATGTGCTTTTTGCCGGTTTCCTGAACTACTCAAAATTTCTGCTACTGGTTCTCCAGAACCTGTCAGAACCTGCTGAATTTTACCCCTGCTTCTGGTGCTTTAGAAAACAAGGTGACCCCCTCTTCGTTGTGGGAGCCCCTCAAATATTGGAACACTGTAAGGCTACAGTTCTAAAAAGAGACTTAGGTTAATTATATGTAGTCAGTACTTTACTTTATTTGTTCTGATTATAATTGCAAAGACATCTGTGGTGGTGTGGCGGGGGGGAGAAGAGGGGTCTTTAATGCACACATCCATGCCCAGTTTTGCAATATTGACCGGCTGGCTTTTGTGCTTGTCGCTTGGTTGTGTTGGGATGTGTGTGTGCACGAAGGGAGGCTCAACCAAACTCATTGTACACATATTGTACTCTGACAATAAAGGTTTGAATTTGAATTTGGTCTACAGCACAAGTGACGCTGCTGGAGAAGCAGCTGGTGGCCTTGGAGCTGAACAGCCAGAGGGAGCGAGAAAAATTAAGCCAGGAAAGTAAGTCTTGGCAAGGCAAAGCCGAAAATGAAGAGAAAGAGAAGAACGAATGCCAGCTAGAAAAACTCGAGCTGCAGACGCGGGAACAGAAGCAACAGGAGCTGAAGTCCACCGTGGTCCAAGAGTTCGATCCTGTCCTTAAGAACATTAAGGGTTCCGCGGATCAGTTTTTTGCTACCTATGAATTACGTGGCTGTTACCGCAGTGAGATTGAACCCGCGTTCCGCTCCATGTTCAGAAATATGCAGAGCCAGCTTGATACGGTGGCGATACAATTTGACCAGAAGGCCAACGAGGTGACTCGAGAGAATGCCTTGTTGCAAAGCCAGAAGGCTGCTTGTAAGCAACACCTGCAGGATCGGGACCAACAGATGAGTCGCCACAAGGAGCAGTTTGAGTGGGAGAAGCAGATCATCCAAGAATCCCAAGAAAACCAAATTCGGAAAATAAGGGCCGAGTGCAGCAAGATGATTGACGAGAACGAAAGCTTGAAGCTGCAGGTCCAGCAGACCAAACAGGCCTGCATCGGCCTGAGGGTAAACCAAGACCCCCAATTTCCTTTCCTTGGGTGGGCAGAGTTCATCCCCACTAGACCAGATCTCAGAAGCTCTGAGGTTCTAGAAGCAGCTGCTGCCAGATGGGCCCTGGGCTACAGAAGCATCTACAAGGGGTACAGGCTGCCCCCAAAAACCAGGGTGGTGGCTGAGGCTGTGAGATAGAAGCTCTGCTCTTTTATACCAGGGGTGCCCCATGTAACCCATGTAAAAGAGGGGTGGGCTCTCAATTGCACAATTAGCAGTTAGCAGTTAGACTTATATACCGCTTCATAGAGCTTTCAGCCCTCTCTAAGCGGTTTACAGAGTCAGCATATCGCCCCCAACAACAATCCGGGTCCTCATTTCACCCACCTCGGAAGGATGGAAGGCTGAGTCAACCTTGAGCCGGTGAGATTAGAACCGCTGAACTGCAGTCAACTGAAGTAGCTGCAGTGCTGCATTTAACCACTGCGCCACCTCGGCTCTTTTAGGCACCCTTGGGACCTTCTCATCTGCACCCAAGATACTCCTGGCTAGAAGGACTGATCTCAGCAGTCCTAATTTAGGGTGAGGGCAGGCTAGCATTGAAGAGCTATGCAGATGGTCCTCAACTTACAACCACAATGAAGCCCAAAATTTCAGTTGCTAAGCACAGCAGTTGTTAAGTGAGTTAGGCCCCATTTTACCAGCTTCTTGCCACAGTTGTTAAGTGAATCACTGCAGTTGTTAAGTTAGTAACACAGTTGTTAAGTCAATCTGGCTTCCCCTTTGACTTTGTTTGTCAGAAGGTGGCAGAGGGTGATCCCATGACTCTGGGACTGGAGTGGAGACTACAACTGCCACAAATACATGCCAGTTGCTAAGCATCCAAATTTTGATCATGGGATCGTGGGGATGCTGCAATGGACGTAACTGTGAAAAGCTGTCATGAGTCTCTTTTTCCCCAGTGTCGTCGTAACTTCAAACTGTCACTAAACAAATGGTTGTAAGTCGAGAACATTATTTAGATGTTGTGTAGAAATATGCAAATCTGCTTAAAAATCTCTCCTTTGTGAAACATTGATTTGGTCTTTTGGGTTTATGATATTCCAGCATCTCTTTTATCTCTTTCTCCTCTGCATTCCAATCACTTAATGTTACTTTAAAGAGATAAAGAATTTTCCTGATCAGAAAAGAGGTTTAGTTGTGTCAATAGAGCAAAATAATAATATGGGGAAAGAAGGAGGGTCCATCTCTGATTTTACAAAAATGTAAATGTTCTACAAATTCTTTGCAGGATTTTAGGATGCTAAATATATCTTCATTTGTTAGTGGCATGGGTGGAAAATAAAACATGTAAAATATAAAACAAGATAACTTTTTCAGAAAATAAGTACAGGGAAGTCAACGAGAGGTTACGGAATAACAGATTTGGAAGGGACCTTGGAGGTCTTCTAGTCCAACCCCCTGCTTAGGCAGGAAACCCTATACCATTTCCAAAAAGTGGTTGTCCAATCTCTTCTTAAAAACTTCCAGTGTTGGAGCATTCACAGCCTTTCTAAGTTTGTTCCATTGATTAATTGTTCACTTACTCTCTGCAGTTTAGTCTATTTCTGGAACTAAAGGCCAGGTTTAAATTGACTGGCCTGATTTTTGCAACTACATGACCACGTTGTTGAAATTAGGAGATGCCATGTCAGTTTGGGGGCTGTAGTTTTCCAATTTTTAAGAGAAAAATACAGACTGTTAATGGGTCCATTCAGGTATTGGAAAGCTCAACAAACTTCTTATTTCCATAGACTTCAGCTCCGGGCAACACGGCTTTGAGGAACCCGTTAAGTCTGGGCCCACCTAATCCCTTTGGTTCCTTTCCGAGAAGTGTGGGGAACACAGGAAGTCTCGTGAATCCTGCAGCAAGCTCTAATGTCTTCAGCAATCCATGGGGGAGGCCAAGTTCACCCGCTCAGCCGAGTTCTGGATCTCAGCGAAATCTAAGCCCCGCTGGTAAGTAATCCATTTTTGGAAAGAATGGGGTTTAGTTCCCTAAGATGCCTCTAACTAACCTGAGAACTCATGTCCTGGGACTCACAGGTGGGGACCACCCCTTTGAGGGATAAAGCAAAAGGATCTGTGCTTTTAACTTTGAGTATGTTTAAGACAGCGGGGACATAATTATTGCTTATTACTGGATTATAGTTGCTAGCAAACTGTAAGATTTCATTCGTCAGTCTTCTGACTCTGAAGGGTACCATCTTGTATAGCAGGGCTGCCAAACCCTCAGCTTGTGGGTTAGATGCATCACATGCTGGCCATGCCCGGTTTAGGAAGAAAAGTTGTGATACGTCATGAGATGCTGACATGACGAAGGGAGTTTGATACCCCTGTTGTAGAGTAACAGAAGAACAGGGTTGAAAGAGACCTTGGTGGTCTTTTTGTCCAATCCCCTGCACAAGCAGGAGACCCCATATCATTCTTGACAAATAGCTGTCCAGCTTCTTCTTAAAAATCTCCAGTGATGGAGCATCCACAACTTCTGAAGGCAAGAGCTGTTCCACTGGTTAATTGCTGTTACTGTCAGGAAATTTCCCCTTAGTTCTAGATTGCTTCTTTCCATCCATTGCTTCTTGTATTGTCTTCTGTTGCTTTGGAAAATAAGTTGACTCCCTCTTGTTTGTGGCAGCCCCTCAAATACTGGAGCACTGCTATGATGTCACCCCCAGTCCTTCTTTTCAGTAGACTAGACATACCCAGTTCCTGCAACTGTTCTTCATGTTTATCCTCCAGACCCCTAATCATAGCAATAGCAATATAGCAGTTAGACTTATATACCGCTTCATAGGGCTTTCAGCTCTCTCTAAGCGGTTTACAGAGTCAGCATATTGCCCCCACAGTCTGGGTCCTCATTTTACCCACCTTGGAAGGATGGANAGTATTATGTATAAGATAAAGTACTAATAGCTATAATCAAATAAATGATCAATAATGATAATAAAACATTTATATATACTAGATTGATAATGTGAAATTTTATATAAACTGTAAGTGAGGATGATGGAGATGATGTTGAAAAAGCCTTTTTATAAAAGATAAATAATTCTATATTGAATAGAAAATAAAGATGTAATATCCTTGGATGATTTCAGGATGATGTCATGAAATGCCATAATATAAATTTACTTCAAATTTAATATGCCTCATATAAAAAGATGTAATAATAGCTATGCTAAAAGTTTAACAATTATAATAATTTGTATAAATGTATATTAGATTGATGATACTAATAATGGAAAAAACATGGAATTGAAAATTATTAGAGAATTATTATTAATGATAAAATGATAGAATGGTTTAGAATAGGCTACAAAAAAAAATGGGCTTGTTATCCGGGGAGGTCTTATTTGGGGGGAAACAGGGTAGTCGTACCTTGAGGACTACCAGATCTGGTTCTGAGGAATCATCCAGATTCTTCCTACCTTTTTACCCACCAGATACCCACACTTCAGTGTCTCTCTCGTTTGTGACTCAATTCTGGAGGGCAAAGAGATGGAAAAGGGTTGGACAGGACATGATTGCTCTGGTCTGTTTGGCTTCTGTGCTGAAAGTCAAATGGGGTGTGCTGTTTAGGTAACAAACATTACTTTCGGCCAGTCCAGTCCTCTGCCAAGAGATGGGGTTGACGTCTTTCAGAGGGTCCTCTGAGACCTCTTAATGAAGGGGGGGGCAATGCTGGCCTTGTTTTGACAAAGGGGGCGAGTGTGGGCCAGCAGAAAGCAAACAAGGAAAGAGGAAGCGTTCTTTGATTCGCTGATAACAATACTGCTTTCTTGGAATAGCGGCTGTGTTATGCTAACCCGTAACCACCAGCTTCTCCAACTAAGCAGGAAGGAAACAAGGAGCCAAGTGAGAGGAAATATTAATCAGATGCAATATAAACAGGGGGAGACGTAAGTCCCCACCCAGTTGAACCCAAAGGCTGAGCCGCGAACGAACCAAGGCAGCTGATAACATGATGGAGAAGAATGCATACGCCATGGCCACTTTGGGGCTAGACTCCAAGGGTGGCCTTCAACCAAAGCGGGATTGTGGCTTCTACATGAAATATTTCTTCCTCTTCCTCTCCCTCATCCAGTTCCTTATCATTTTGGGATTGGTACTTTTCATGATCTACAGCAACCCGCTGGAAGTCACTGAGAAGCACCTCAAGGGCTTGACAAACCAGCTGCAGGAGAGCGACAAGAAGATCAAAGCCCTCAGCGAAGAGATTGGCAAACTCAAGCGCCAGCTGAATGCCACGGAGAAGGAAGCGCGTCTGGTCCAGACCCAAATGCTCAGGTTGAACGCCACCTTGAGGTTTTGCAACAGTGAAAAGGTAAGCCCTGGGAGAGGAAGAACTTGGAGGCAGACGGCCCATGTGGCTTGTATCTTTGCAATTTATATTGCTTTATTTGTTTCCTAGTATGATTTTAGAATAACAGAGTTGGAAGGGACCTTGGAGGTCTTCTAGGCCAACCCCCTGCCTAGGCAGGAAACCCTATAGCATTTCAAACAAATGGTTTATCCAACATCTTCTTAAAAACTTCCAGTGTTGGAGCATTTACAACTTCTGGAGGCAAGTTGTTCCACTGATTAATTGTTCTAACTGTCAGGAAGTTTCTCCTTAGTTCCAAGTTGTTTCTCTCCTTGATTAGTTTCCACCCATTGCTTCTTCGCCTGACCTGTGCTGCTTTGGAGAATAGCTTGACGCCCTCTGCTTTTGGGCAGCCCCTGAGATATTGGAAGACTGTTATCATGT